AGTACCAAGCTGTTTTGACCACTGTAGCCGTGTAGTAAAATTTGAAGTTGGGGAGTGACAGGCCTCCAACCTTATTCTTATTCTTAAGCAGTGCTTTGCTTATCCTGGGTCTCTTTCCTTTCCATATAAAGTTTGTAATTGTTTTTTCCATCTCTTTGAAGAATGCCATTGGTATCTGGATTGGGATTATATTATATGTGTAAATTGCTTTGGGTAGTATTGACATTTTCACAATGTTGAGTCTTCCTACCCAGAAGCATGGTATATTCTTCCATTTTTGTAAGTCTCTTTTGTTTTCTTGTAGTAGTGTTCTGTAGTTTTCTTTGTATAAGTCCTTTGTTTCTCTGGTTACATTTATTCCTAGATATTTCATCTTTTGGGCGGTTATGGCCGTTTGGTTTTATGTCAAAACTGTCATTTAAAATTTCAACATTTGTGTGCATGCGTAGTAAAACCCTCCAGCGGTGAGGTTGGGGTAGTCATTCACTCAGGTATCCTCTCCAGTTACCAGAATGGAGGTGTGCAGTCAGCAAGAGACCAATGAACAATGGACAGATACAAAAAAAAAAAAAAAAAAAAGAATGTCCACACCTGTATCTCCTCAGTTCGGCCAGGAGTTCATGGCTGTTCTGATCCTTCCTCCACTTATTCTCTCCCAAGATGGTGAGATTAGAGAGGACAAATGTGAGGTTGTATCAGAAAGAATTGGCTGTGCCATGATCAAGAATGTGTTAAGTAAAAAATGTAAGGATTAATCAGCAAGAGTTTACTGATTCATTTCACAAACTCTTAATTGAATGTCTCCTATATGTCAGTCAATCTTTTGGATGTTGAGAATACAGCAGTTAACAAAACAGGTACAAATTCCTACTTCCATGGACTTTGAGTCTCAGCTTCACCATTGCCTGGGATTAATTAATGTATAGAAATCTAAAGATTAATTAACAGTGGATATCGAGAAAACTTTGAATGAAGGACTCAAATGAAGTTACCATAACATCCATTTAAAGGACATATGAATTAGGGCCCCCTCCTGCCAGTTAGACCTAGCCATCAAGAAGCAGGATGAATCACATACAGATAGAAGTCCATTAATCAGATTTGTTTCCTGACCCAGCCACCACTGCCTGAGGACACTAAGTTATTTATACTCTGATTGGGATAGTCTACGGCCACCCACTCTGCATCACATTTACTGTTTCCTGCAGTATTTGAAATAGTCTGAGAAATGAACATTGCTAGTTTTGAGATGAGAGAAGCAAAATGGGTATTTTCTCAACTTTATGCTTTCATTTTCCAGGAACTGAAGGAATGAGTCATAGAATAAAAATAATGATATATATGCAAAATAGTTCTAGTTTTCCTGATACTTTATGTTTTATTTTATATAATATGGCAATCTATAAATAACATTTAGCATCACATTCCTAGAAATAAACTATTGTAATATCACGAATGCAAGAATATATTGCTACTAGTTTGTATTTCTACTCTGTAAACATATGCAGTGCTATAGAGAACAAATGATTAGATTCATTATAACTTAAAGCCTGAGGTTTTCAACAATATTTCTAATATATTTTTACAGTAAATATATGAAACCTTGTTAAATGTTAATTAGAGAAGCATATTCTCACCAATGCACTGAGGAAGTTCCGTCCAAACTCCACGAACACATCTAATAAATTTGTATCCATTCATCGTAAATGAATCTTCGCAACTGAACTCCACTACATTTCCATGGTGATAGGGAGGTTCAGAGGGCAAACTATAGCCATGTTCAAGTGCAGGGATATCGCCACATGTACTCTCTTCCTCTGTGAAATTTCACAAGAATAAGTTTATCTTTATAACATAACTTGTTTTTATATGAATATAAATAAATTTTCTGATTTTATATATATTACCAACACATATAGGCAAAGTTGTCCATCCTCCATCAACACATTGGATTTTCTTAGACCCCTTCAATAGGAATTTGGGATTGCAATCATATTCCACCACTTCTTTATGCTTATATTCTTCTTTCTTTGCCTCTTTAACTTCCCCATTGAGCAGTTGAGGAGGTGGGCCACATGATTTTACCTGCTCTAAAGCACAAATACTATCATTTAAACAATGGTTAAGTAGTTCATCTTACAATAAATAAAAATAAGCTAAACAGAGATCTCCAATTTGTTATTTCTTTTATCACAGCATTCTTAAACCATGAAAAAGGAATGGTGTTTACCCCATATTCCTAGTTTCCAATTCTGCTACTTAGACTGCATTTAAAAGCCTGGGGTAAGGGCTCAGCTGCTAACAGAATGAAAGGTCAGTGACCCAATATCTATTATGTAGGGAAAAACGTGGCAATTTGCTTATTTGGAAACCCTATTCTGCTGTATAGGATCGCTATGGATTGGTATTGCATACTATTGATCATTAGCATACTTAACCCTTTCAAACATGTACAATAATTTTGTATTTTTATGAGTGGTGGTGACGGTGGCTGCGTGCCATCGAGTTGGTTCTGACTCATAGCAACCCTGTATAGGTTACCTGGAGCAGTAAATTTATGCAGGAGCAGAAAGTCTCATCTTTCTCCCTCAGTGCAACTGTTGGATTTGAATTGTTAGCCTTGCAGTAAACAGTCTAACTCAAAACCCACTTTGCTACCAGGGCTGCTAAATATGTGCACAGATTAACAAATATTGCTATATAAATTGAAATAGTATTCATTCTCCATGAAAACATTGTTTCAAGATTTTTTATACTAATCCTATCACTTGGGACAATCTGTGGATTAACATATTTTAGCATGGACAAAGCCATACAAGTGATTGAGTTGGTTTTGAGTGGTTTGACTGTAGTTTAGGCAAACACAATGAAACTTGAGTAAGGTCCATCTATATAAATTTTTCATTAATGGTGGCAGTATAAGTAAAGGAAAAGAAACAAAAGAAGTATCTCTTACCTTGGCTGCCATATATGTATCTTTTAATATACACAATACATTTTAAGGACCAATGGGAAAGGTATTTCTGTGACCTGTTTACCACCCAACCCATATCCTTCCCAGGCATAACATCTCTTGTTTAATACGTTAGATTATAAATAATCTTAAAGGCCACAGAAAATGAAAAACATATATAAATATCTAAAAACAAAGTTTTTGTTGCATTAATAAACAAAGAACCAAACACACAGCCGTAGGGCAATTCCAACTCAGCGACTCTATGTAGGATTTCTGAGGCTAGAAATCTTTACAGAAATAGAAAGCTCTATCTTTGACCTGTGGAGCAGCTGGTGAGTTTGAGCTTTGACCTTGTGATTAACAGTCCAGTGTTTATCCTGCAGTGCCCCAGGGCTGCTTGTTGCAATAATGGTAAGATAAATAGTCACCTTTACATGTTGGAATTTTAGGGGACCATCCAAAGTAGTAGCATTGAATTGAATCTGGTCCAACTATTTGATATTTCTGTGAACAGGAAAATTTCAGTACATCTCCAACTTTATATTTGTTTTTCTTGGGTGAGGCGTCTAATATTTTTGGTAACTTAGGAACACTGCATTCTTTTTCTAAAACAAAAAGAGGAGTAAGAAGAAGAGTAAGTAGTTCAATGAAAATACATAATTTATCATTGACAAAATTAACTTTATATGCATAACGTTAATACCACTATTATTCAAATTTATGCACCAACCACGAAAGTCAGTGAGGATGAAATAGAAGAATTCTACCAACTTCTTCAATCTGAAATTGATCAAACATGCAATCAAGATGTATTGCTAATTACTGGTGATTGGAATGCAAAGGTTGGGAACAAAGAGGAAGGATCAGTAGTTGAAAATATGGCCTGATGCTGGAGATCGAATGACAGAACTCTGCAAAATCAATGATTTGTTCATTTCAAATACCTTCTGTAGACAGCATAACAGATGACTACACACATGGACCTCACCAGATAGAATACACAGAAATCAAATTGACTACATCTGTGAAAAGAGTTGATGGAAAAGCTCCATGTCATCAGCCAAAAGAAGGCCAGGTGTAAATTTTAGAACAGATCATCAATTCAAACTGAAGGTGAAGAAATTGAAAACAAGTTGACTAGAGCCAAAATATGACCTTGAATATATCCCACCTGAATTTAGAGATCTTCTGAAGAACAGATTTGATACATTAAACCCTAAAAGCCGAAGACCAGAAGATTTCTGGGATAACATCAAGAACGTCATACAGGAAGAAAGCAAACAGTCATTAAGACAACAAGCAAGAAGGAAGAGATAAAAATTGATGTCAGAAGAGACACTGACATCAATTTTGATCTCTTAGAGATCCTAAAGCAAATGGAACAAATGAAGAGGTACAAGAGCTGAACACAAAATTTCAAAGGTCAGCTTGAGAAGGCAAAGTCAAATATTACAACAAAGTGTGAAAAGATCTGAAATAACACACTCAGCATTTCTCAAGCTGGGGTGGGGACTAAAGAAAAAATTCAAGCCTGGACTATTGTTATTGAAGGATTCCCTAGGAAAATTATTGAATGATTCAGAAAGCATCAAAAGAAGATGGCAGGAATACACAGAGTCACTGTACCAAAGAAAATGGTTGATGTTCAACCATTTCAAGAGGTAGCACATAATCAAGAGCCAATGATACTGACGGAAGAAGTCCATGGTGCATTGAAGGAATTGGCAAAGAAAAAGGCACCAGAAATTGATTGATGGAATACAATTGAAATCTTTCAAGAAAGTGAGGCAGCTAAGAAATGTGGAAGACAACTATGTTGCCAACTGATTGGAAGAGATCTATATTTAGGCCCATTGCAAAGAGAGGTGACCCAACAGAATGCAGAAATTATCAGACAATATCTTTGCTATGCTTTGTGAGTAACGTTTTACTAAATGTAATGCAGTAGTGGTTGCAAGCATACATAGACAGAGATCTTCCAAAAATTCAAGCTGGATTCAGAAGAGGACATGGAATGTGGGATATCATTGCTGATGTCCGATGGATCTTGGCTGAAATTAGAGAATACCAGAAAGATGTATTCCTGTGCTTTATTGTCTATGCAAAGACTTTTGATTGTGTGGATCATGATAAGCTATGGACAACACTGCAAAGTATGAGTATTCCATAACACTTAATTGTGCTCATAAGGAATCTGTACATGGATCAAAAGGCAGTTGTTTGAACAAAGAACACGGCAACACTGAATGGTTTAAAATTAAGAAACGTGTGTGACAAGGTTGTACTCTTTCACTGTACTTATTCAACCTATATGCTGAGCAAATCATCTGAGAAGCTGGCTTATAGGAAGAAAAATATTGCATCAGGATTGGAGGAAGACTCATTAACAACCTGCGATATGCAGATGATACAAACTTGCTTGCTGAAAGTGAAGAGGACTTAAAATCAAAGATCAAAGCCTTCGGTATGGATTGCATCTCAGTGTAAAGATAACAAAAATTCTCACCACTGGATCAATAAACAACATTCTTATCAACAGAGAAAAGATTGAAGTTGTCAAAGACTTCATTCTTATTGGATCAACTATCAACATTCATGGAAGCAGCAGTCAAAAAATCAAATGACGTACTGCATTAGGCAAAACTGCTGCACAAGAATTTTTGAAGAGCAAAGATGGCAGCTTGAGGACTGAGGAGCACCTGACCCAAGTCATGTGTGTTTTCAATAACCTCAAATGCATATGAAAGCTAGACAGTGAATAAGTTAGACTGTAGAAGAATTGATGCTTTTGAGTTATGGTGTTGGAGGAGAATATTGAAAGTACCATGTGCTGCCAAAAGAAGCAACAGATCTGTGTTGGAAGAAGTGCAGCCAGAGTGTTCCTTGGAGGCCAAGATGGCCAAACTGCATCTCTCATACTTCAGACATATTGTCAGGAAGGACCAGTTTGGTAAGGTGGAGGGTCAGAGAAAAAGAGGAAGACCCCCAGTGAGATGGATTGGCAAAGTGGAAGCATCAGGGGCTCAAGTATGGCAACTATTGTAAGGTTGGCCAAGGATCGGGCAGTCTTTTGTTCTGTTGTGCACAGGGTCGCTATGAGTTGGTACTAACTAAATGGCAGGTAACCACAACAACACAAGGTGTTGCATATATAGAATCATTAAATAAATGTTTTATCTTTTAAAATAACAGCAAAAAAAACCACTTTCATTTGTGTATATCCTATTCAAGTTGGATTCTCTGAGAAATAACTTAGTTATTCAACAGTAATAATTGTGTCCTGGAAATTTACATAAAAAGTACACTTGCTTAGGTTGGCTCTCATTTTATCACTGTCATTTATAAAATTTAAAGTTAATTATTATTTTTTTTTTTGCTTTAGAAACATAAAACTATTCTCTTGTATTAAGAAAAGAATGTGTTAACTTTTAATTGCACAATTGATACAAATTTATATTCTATGTAACAGTGCCATACCGTTGCCATCTAGTCAATTTCAATCCATAGAAACCCTGTAAAACACAGTAGAATTGCCCCATTGGGTTTCCAAAGTTGTCATTTTTACAAAAGCATATCACTCTGCCTTTCTACAGTGGTGCAGCTGGTGATGGTTGACGTTGTATCTATCAGGCAGGAGCCCAACACTTAACCACTGCACCGGCAGGGCTCATCTGGATATAAATGGGAAACCAGAATGCAGGAAAGGTGCAATATCTAATATATTTTCAGGTGGAAGATCATTAAAATCAAGTATACATATATCTTTTACAAATCAAGAAAACAAACACTCATCAACTTGTAAATTTAAAAACTAGAATTCCAGACCAGGAATCATGCTAACAAGAAATGTTAGGCTATCTAAAACTCAGGTATAAACACACAGTCATAAAATTAAACGCAAATTAAATATTTCAAAAGAGTAATGTCACAAAATAATTAAATAAAAGTGCATTTGTTTTATTTTATGCTGAGGTTAACATCTTAATTGGCATCATACTTGAATAAGAATCACTAATATTCCACTCTTAAATAGCAATTCAAGTCTATTATTCAAATCAGTTCTTTTATTGGTATTTGTGTTTGCTTATACATCTTGGTCTCCTCAGATTGTGGACCAAATTGTCCCAACAAGTACAAAAATGATCTCAATTGTTGGGTATTTTCAACTACCATATTTCTCTAGAGATAATAACTTCTGAAATGTGATTTAAGGAATATTTTGGGTGTACCAAACCGGAATTAGAGATATTTGTTTTTGTCTGTAGGTCAAAATCATAAATTCTAGTACTGATATATTTAAATATCAATTTTTGATAATAGCAGTGCACTTCTTCTAGACTGTTGCAAACACTTCTTTTGCTTAAGTGGTTTATGATAATTTTTAGAAAACTTATACCAAAAATAGAACTTCTAGAACATTTCAAATAGACTCAAATATCGGAAAACCTGTGTCTAGTTTCTGTTCAATGGTTGAGGGATGAATATTTTTAAGCTGTCAATTGTTCAATTACTGGATGCCTGCGTGGCACTGTAGGTTAGCACCCTGGACTGCAAAATCAGTTTGAACTACCAGGTGGGCAGTTCAAGCTCACCAGCCTCTTCTGGGAAACCTTTTACAGGATCGCTATGGTTCGGAACTAGCTTTATGGCACTTAACAGTAACAATGCACTGGTCATTTCTAACTAAATGAGGGTAACTAAAAATTATTGCTACAAAATCGTGGAAACCTTTATGAAACAAAAATATCAAAATGTGAAGCCATTGTTTCTTGATATCTCCTCCATCTAGGACAGGAGTGGGAAATGTAGGGACTGCAGTCCATATCAAAATCATTTGCTCTGGTCCCTCCAAGGCAACCGCAGTTCCAGCCATCATATTGTTGTTATTAAGTGCCGTCGAGTCATTTCCAACCCATAGCGACCCTGTATAGGGTTTCTGAGGAATGACTGCTGAGTTTGAACTACCAATCTTGCAGTTCAAATGTCTTTGCAGTCTGGTGCATTAATCCGCAACGCTACACCAGGACTCCACATTATTATTAAGTACTATGGAGTCGGTTCTGACTCATAGTGACCCTGCACAGGACTTCCGAGGCTGTAAATCTTTATGGGAGCAGAAAGCCTCATCTTTCTCCCGCAGAACGGCTCGTAGTTTCGAACTGCTGACCTTGAGGTTTGCAGCCCAATTCGTAACCACTACGCTACCAGAGCTCCTTTGGACTCCACATTAGGGGTGAGTTAATTAAAATATATCAAGCTAATATTTAAGTTAATTATTTTACATGGCCCGCAAATAATGTTATAAATTTGGGAAGAGGAAATGATTTCCACTCCTGATCTAGGACTGTACACTTTTTTTTTTTTTTTAAATAAACATTTAAATAAATGTTTTATTGTGAATTATGTGATAATTTACATGGGAGACCATAAATTCTACACTCATTCTGTCATGTATCTTTTCATTGCCATGGTTACTTTCTGGATCTCAAGCCCCCAGCCTATCCACCTCTCGGCATCATCGTCTCTACCTCCATCTCAAGGCATCACTGCTTCTCTGGGTAGGGTCCCGCTCTCCACTCTTCTCCACTGTTAGTCCCAAGGCCCT